CTCGTTGCTGTGCGGCCCGGGCGGTTTCCTTACGCCCGGGCCCCGGGCCCCGTCGCGTAGTGGTGGGAGTCGGGAGCGTTGGAGGCCCGGTCCCCAGTAGCTGCAGCGCGCGGTGATCGCGATGAACTGTAGCGCCGCGGGCCCGGCGCCCCGGTCTTCGAGCTGGAGGGGCCCTGCTTCTCAGACCCAGAAGTCGCCCCGCTGCGGCTCGGGGCTCACCGCGGGGCTGACAGCGCGCGTGCTGGCGAGGGCCTCCGAGCCGAGGAGTGGAGCGGGAGGGCAGAGGTGAGGCGGTTAGGTCTCTACCTCCAATTTAGGAAATGGGATTGCTTAATTTTTTAACATACATTTTTTTTTTAAAGGAAGAATTGTATTGATCTTTACAATCCTTTTACATCTCTCAATCTTTTTCCAGCAGTGTTTGAGAGTCGTGAGTAGAATCAATTCCATGTTGTAGCCGGACGTGGTGGCGCGCGCCTGTAATCCCAGCACCGGGGAGGCTCAGGCAGGAGGTTCCCTGAGAGTTCAAGGCCAGCCTGAACTGCATAGCGAGACCCTGTCTTAAAAAAAAAATTTCCATGTTGCGTATCTGCTATAATTAAACTTAGAGCAGTAGTAAAGAACTGTGTGAGATTCTCTTTTTACATCAGGCAGAGTGCAAAAACAAGCCAGATAACTGGATCACAGGGAGGCTCAGAGCGAAGAGAGAATACAGGTATTGCCCAGCAGAAATTTTCTAACTTTTCTGAAAATGGATGTCAGCATTCCTTCTCTCTCTCCTTACCACTATCTTGACTCAACAGTTCAGGTAACTCATTATCTTCCAGGGGCCGCAGGGTCTAAACGCTGTGACAAGTTGCTGCCGTTTTGGCAATCACACTATTGCATCTTGTTAGAGTTTCCCTTGTCAGATAGTTTAAGAGGATGAAGTGACAGTAAACACGTACAAATGCAGGTCTCTGAGACCGAGTCTTGGGCTCGGCATGATACCTAAGTAGCTTATGTGCCTCTTTGGAACCCACCTTTTTAAATAGGAATGCTAGTCTCTTGTATGCTCACCTTAAGAGGCAATTGGGGAACGATAACCTGGTGAATAGGAAATTAATTATTTTGAAAACTGTAATGAGCAGTGCAGATAGAATTGGCAGCTCAAAGCGCCTAAGAAATCATAGACGTGCCTAAGCATTGTTTAATCTATACAGCTTACTGTAAAACAGCAGGTAAGTGCGGGTGAGTACTTTGTGGTAGAAAGAAGTACTTTTTTTTTGAGACAGGGCCTCATTGTGTAGCCTAGGTTGGCCTCAAACTGACATTGATCCTCCTGTCTCAGCCTCTGAAGTGATGGGGTTACAGGTATGCACCACCACACACAGCTAACAAAAAGTACTTTTATTTTTTGTTTTTTTGGTACCTGGAATTGAAGTCGGGACTTTGCGCTTGCCAGGCAGGCGTGTGTACCACTGAGCTATATCCCTGGCCCCCAAAATACTTTTAAATTAAGTTTAATGGTGAGTTATAAAAATCACTGAGAATTTTGAAGAAATTCGGCATATTTTGAGTATTCACATCCTCAACTACCTAATTTTAAAACTGTTAAGGAAAATCTATTTTAATGTTCCTGTCAATGAAGATACAATCCAAAAAATGTGAATAAGGTAGTTAAAAAAATTGATTTTTTTGTGGGGGGTCTTTTTGAGACACAGTCTCGCTATGCAGTTCAGACTGGGCTTGAGCTCACCTTGTAGCCCAGGTTGGTCTTGAGCTCCCAACGATTCTCCTGCCTCAGCCTCCCGAGTGCTGGAATTACAGGCGTGCACCACCATGCCTGGCTTGTTGATTTTTTTTTTTTTCCCATCATTGATGGCTTTAATTCTGTCCATGCCTAGACTAGAGTCTGTTTTTAAATGGATATGTATTTCCAATAAAGAACACTTGGAGTTTTATGTATTTTCCTCTCTAATTTTTTTTTTTCTTTGTCTTTTTGAGACAGGGTCTCGCTATGCAGTTCAGGCCGGCCTTGAGCTTACTTTGTAGCCCAGGCTGGTCTCGAACTTGAAACAATCCTCCTGCCTCAGCCTCCCGAGTGCTGGGATTACAGGCGTGTGCCACCATGCCTGTCTCCTCTCTAATTTTTTTTTGAGACAGGATCTAGCTATGTAGCTCAGGCTGGCCTTGAACTCCCTGTATAGCCCAGGTTGACTTCAAACTTACAACAATCCTCCTGCCTCAGCCTCCTGAGTGCTGGGAGTACACACATGTGCTACCATGCCTGGCTGCCTTAAATGTTTTAACTTTACTGCATTTTGTTTATATATCAATCCTAAGGTTGTCTTTTTTTTTTTTTGAGGCAGGATCTTGCTATGCAGTTTAGGCTGGCCTTGAGCTCACTTTGTAGCCCAGGCTGGACTAAAACTCAAACCTGATCCTCCTACCTCAGTCTCCTGAGTGCTGGGATAACAGTTGTGTGCTACCACGCCCGGCCTACACTTCATTCTTTGAGGCTGTTACTGCCCTTATAGCAAAAAACAAGGATTTCTTCATAAGACAAACCATCTCTTCTGGAAATCTTCAATAACAGGCTAGCAAACTGGGTCTAGCAACATACATTACTGTATAAAAAGGATTCCTATATGTACACTGACCAGCTGGATTTACCTCAGGAATGCAAGGTTGGCTCAACATACAAAAATAAATGTAATCTACCAAATTAATAAATGACAGAAGCCACATGATCATCCCAATAAACAAGGGAGAAGAAATCCTGTCATGCAAAATAGTAAGCTAGGAATAGAAAGGAACTTTCCTAAAGGAAAAATACTGATTTAGAGGCAAAGAAAAAAAAAAAAATCTGCTGAGCGTGGTGGTGCATGCCTGTGATCAATCCCAGCACTTGGGAGGCTGAGGCAGGAGGATTGTTGTGAGTTCCAGGCCAGTGTGGACTACACAGCAAGACCCTGTCTTTATTTATTTTGGGTTTTATTTGAGGTAGGGTCTCACCATGCAGTCAGGAAGTCCTCCTGCCTCAGCCTCTCAAGTGCTGGTATTACAGGCAGCTGCTGCAATGCCCAGCTAAGGAATTTGTTTTCTAAATCACTGGTCTTAAAATAGGAAACTTCCATTTCTATTCTTTTTTCCTTTTTTTTTTTTTAAGTCTTTTTGAGACAGGGTCTCACTATGCAGCTCAGGCTGGCCTTGAGCTCAGGCCAGGCTGGTCTCAAGCTCACAGTGATCCTCCTGCCTCAGCCTCCTGAGCGCAGAGATTACAAGCATGTGCCACCACGCCCAGTGGAAACTTCCATTTCTAGTGTTATGTTGCTAGACAGGGTCTCGCTGTACAGTGTGGACTCAAACTCCTGGGCTGAAGTGGTCCTCCTGCTTTAGCCCCCCAGGTAGTAGACAGATGTCACTACGTAGAGTTTCAGGTAAAGTCACTCTCCTGAAAGTGTAGAATTAGTTAAATATTAAATGTGAATGGACCAGCTGCTTTTCAAGATTGCTTCTGACTCTGAGAACTCGAGAGCAAGACTTTCTTGCTTTGTTTTTGGGAAGTTGGGAAGCAAAGCAGAAGTCTGTGTTGTAAATGAGGTCTGTTTCCTAGACTTCATGTATTTTTGGCGACATTCATGTCTGTGATCCCAGAGGACAGGGATACTTTGAGGTGGCTACAGGTAGATAATTATACTTGATTACCAAAAACAAACTTAATTGAGATAGACTTTACCTCATCAGGCTCACATTTCTGAGTCTTTGTAGTTTTATGCTCTGGCTGGCAACTTTGATCAGATCTAAAGAATCAACTTCACTGATCCAGTAATACTTTCTTTTAAACTTTACGTTTTGAGAAATTATAACTTGCAAGAAGTGGAAAAAATAGTAAAGAGGGATCTCTTGTGTCCACCACCCAGCCTCCCTCAGTGGTGACATCTTACATAACTGTCAAAACCAGGAACTTTGGAACAGATCTGCAGACCTTGTTCAGGTTGCACCAGAGCATTTGGACTGAGTTGCACCCCCACTCTTTTTTGGAGACAGGGTCTCACAGATTTTTTTCCCAAACTGTGTGCAAATTTGTGATCTTCCTGCGCCGTCCTCTTTTTTTTTTCTTTTTTTTTTTTTTTGGTTTTTCTCCGGTACCGGGAACCGAACTCACGACCTTGTGCTTGCCAGGCAGGCGCTTTTGCCGCTGAGCTAAATCCCCAGCCCCATGCGCCGTCCTCTTAAGAGTACTGGGGTTACAGGCTGGCACCACCATGCCCAGTTTAGTATTTCTTTTTCTTTTTTTTTTTTTGTAATAGTAGAACGAAAATATTGGCATGAGATTTAAGCAGTACTAAAACTTGTGTGTATTTTGGTGAAAGGTGAAAAATTCCTGCGATCTGAAGAGAATCCAGGGTACTTGTATTTTTGTAAGTTTGATATGTAAGAGGTAGGCATAATACTGTGAGTTTATTTTGATGTTAATGAAAAATACTCCCCAAAAACTTAGTAGAGCTAATACTACAGTTTAAACTCTGAAAACATGGCTGTTACTATTAAGATCACCTTCAGTA